CAATATATATATATATATCGCCATTATAAATAAATATAATGAAGTTTTATATCGCCTATAAACTCTACAGATGCTCGTACATGCTCCCTCTGGAAATAACATTTTCATATAGACACAAATCCCTATGAAAGGTAGTCTGACACAAGATACCTGTCTGTATAATTCAAAGCCATACTTTGTTATATGTGTTTTCTGAGTTGAATTTAGCTGAGCCCGTTTTATAGCTCTATCAACTTAAATTATTCATATTTGTTTTCTGGATTATGATCATTTTTTACCTGGAGAGGATTATTCCTGATGTAATGAAATCCGTCGTTGTACCAATTACTTTTGTGTCATTTCTATCTTCCACATAAAGTAAATTCAGTATGAGTTTAATATACTGATTAATATTGTTGAAAAAGTCATGAATAACTTTAAAATATACCAAGCAGAAAATTATCATTTATCCACTTCTAGTGAAGTCTAAAGATTTTGCATACATTAAAGTCAGGAGTAGGGCCACTGAGGTGATTATTAATCACCAGCAAATAATTAATATAGCCTCCCTAACAAGACCAATCGAATATCCCATGCTTCCAAGCGGCACCATAAGCTCAAATTATATTATGGGCTTCAATCTTATACAAAACCTCTAAGTAATTTTTTTTCATGGCTCGTAACCAAATAGTTGTTTTTGGCTCAGAAGAATGCTCTCCTTGTCTTGTGCTTTTTAGTGTGCTGCTTCTTGGTACCTTGTAGCCAAGATGAATGAGGATTAATCGCACATTACCAAACGATGTTTCAGTTGTCACGTGCTGCTTTTGTAACTAATTTCTCCATCGTCGATTGTGCTCAGTCCGATGCACTATTTAGTGGAAGAGTAATTTCCATTGTAACAAATTCGTCGAAGGACGCTGAGTGTCGCTTCTAAAACGAGGTTTTAAGCAGGCCAAAAACACATTGGAGTACTTCACGAGACTTCAAAGTTACGTAGCCCATTGGAATTACTGTTATTCCGGTTTCTTTGGTTGTCTTTCTCATGAAAATAGTTTTCGACTTCAAAATACAGTGGGAAACTTGTGAGCCTTTGTGAATTTAAAATCCTTGTTTATTATCTTGTTAACGGTACTATGATATATGCATAGCTTTGTTGCAATGGCTTTCAGAGTCGGAGATGTTTCTTTCATACCATTATATTTCATTTTGCAGGTAAAGGCTGGGCTCGATAGTGGTTTAGGGTATGGTTTCGGAGTTCAGAGATGCTCCACCTCTGCGAGTTTCTATGGAGAATATTGAAGGCTCCCTTCTTCTAAATGTTTCGTTTTTGACTTTACATCATTTAATAATCTCCTTATGTGAATATTCTTTTTTTGGAAATGGTTGTAAAATTTTTATTCAGATATAAATCTACCAGTGGCAGAATTGGACACCAAAATGTCGGAAATTCGCTGTGAAGTAAATATATAGACGCTAAACATGTTGCGCGTAATGCTATGACTCACATCTACAGCGATACGCCACTACATTGACATACACAAATCATTCGTATAAAACACAATTAACTATCAGTATTTGGGGGATATTTTTAGTTTCCATATTTTTTAAAGGAATGTCAAGAGTTTGGAATTATGGGCAATGAGATTTGCTTTTACGTTGATCTAAGGTGTTAAAGATATGTTTTGTTGGATAATAGATTTAGGAATACTTTGAGATGTTATAGAAAACTCTTGTGAATTAAATGTCTTATTCTAACTGTAAATCAATAACGTGCAATGATATGTTAACCTTCCCATTGGATTATTAACCAACACAGATCTAATGTGAAATACATGTATATTATAACCCTTTTAAAAAGTCAGAAAGAACTAAGATGTCAACATAATGAAATTAAGCTTCTTAGTTTTCATCGAGGTTAGTTGTAGTATTTCGAAATCTGACAATAAACGTAACATTATAAATTATTTTACAAATAAACGTGGTTGGTCATCAAAAGCTTACTGACTCGAGCCGATTCATTCGTCCTTTTCATGGAGTATTTTGAAAGCAATAAAAGCATATGCTAGTATATAGTGCTCACACTGATGCTTAATAGATAGTATCTCTTACTATAATTAAGTATTTTGTATGTTAGGATTGGAGCCAAAGGGTTAGCTTCAGAATACTTCTCTATATTGAAACAATAAATTTAAAGAATCTTTACTTCAAAATGTTGTTGTTGTTTTTATCTCAAACAATTTTAACACTTCTAGTTACAAATATTATTTAAGAAATGGTAAGAATAAGGCCGGACGTGGCCTAATATGTAATTTTTCCCACACTGTTGACCTGGGGATGCAGGGTTGACGTCCTGTTAGTGCAGAAACGCGTTTCGGCACTTTGGGGCTTTAGATGCGATACAAAAGTAACGATTAAATTTCACTTTGCGGTCAAATTAAAGTAGTACAGAGTGGTCGGTGGGTGCTAGTGACTAACTGCCTTTTCTATAATTTACTAGTTGAAAATTATGAACGGCTATGCGCAGGTAGCCTTTTGTGTAGCTTTGCGTAAGATTTTTGAAAACATATAATGAAGGGCATTTAAGAAATAAAAAGGTCAACTTTTGCAAATAACTCAAACCTAATTTCATATAAATGGTTACCTTGCAGAGGCCTGGTAGGGCCAGGTGGTTAGGGCACTCGACTCGCAATCTGTGGGTCGCGGGTTCGAATCCCGTCACACCAAACATGCTCTCCCTTTCAGCCGTGGGGGCGTTATAATGTGACGGTCAAAAAAAAGAGTAGCCCAAGAGTTGGCGGTGAATGGTGATGACTAGCTGCCTTCCCTCTAGTCTTACACTGCTAAATTGGGGACGGCTAGGACAGATAGCCCTCGTGTAGCTTTGCGCGAAATACATAACAAACAAACAAACAATACCTTGCAGAAATACATATAGTGGAACAATACTTAAAATTCTAGCTTTTCGTAAATTAGTAAAACTAGGGTCTCTGTCCTTTTTTCTCCTTGCACATCTTAAACTGATTTTCTGCTTAGAATTTCAGGAGTTGGACGTCTTTTAGTGTTAAGGTTTTTTTTCTATGACTGAATAGTTACTCACAAATTTCCAATGAGATTTCGACGTTGATATAACAAGAAACAACGCATGCTCTAATATGATAAATCTTGTATTCTAAGTGTATAACGAGTTATTTTTATGATTTCATATATAAAAATAAAACAAGGTGTTTCTGTACACTAACGTTTCCTTGTAACGTTAAATAATTTCACAAATGTATATAGTAAATACTTCAGTTTTCTTTGAAACAGTTTGAAAAAAAGTACAGAGAAAATTATAACAGAATCTTGATTAGATAACTCGAGACCGGAAACATTTAGTCACTATACTATGGTTCTGTATGCAGCCCCCCAGTGGCACAGTGGTATATCTGCGGAATTATAACGCTAGAAACCGAGTACATAACTTGAAACCGGAAACATTTAGTCACTATACTATGGTTCTGTATGCAGCCCCCCAGTGGCACAGTGGTTATGTCTGCGGAATTATAACGCTAGAAACCGAGTAGATAACTTGAAACCGGAAACATTTAGTCACTATATTATGGTTCTGTATACAGCCCCCCAGTGGCACAGTGGTATATCTGCGGAATTATAACGCTAGAAACCGAGTAGATAGCTCGAGACCGGAAACATTTAGTCACTATATTATGGTTCTGTATACAGCCCCCCAGTGACACAGTGGTATGTCTGCGGAATTATAACGCTAGAAACCGAGTTTCGATACCCTTTGTTGGCATAGGACAGATAGCTCACTGTGTAGCTTTGTGCTTAACTACAAACAAACTTCTGTATGCATGTGCATATATATATACTTGTTAATTTGAAAATTTTAATTCAATTGCTAAGTTGCTTCCATTGTTTTAAAATGAGTAATTGTTTAAGTTGAAAATTTAAATTTTTTGGAAGTTAAGCACAAAGCAACAGAATGGGCTATCTGTGCTCTGCCCACCACGGGTATCGAAACCCGGATTCTAGCGTTGTAAGTCATACCGCTTTGCCACTAAGGGGCTGAACATTTAAAAAGGCATTTTAGGCATAAGGTAAACGTTATACTTTTATCTTAAGTTTCAAATCTTCAGTTCAATTTAGCTTTTTTTTTTTTTTGGCGTGCATAAAACTTATGTAATTTTTCACTAATTTTGTCTGCAATCTTCCTTAGGACTATGAAGTATCAAGGAGAAGAAAAAAAAACGAAAGCGTTAAATGTATTTCGGCTGTACTTCTACTCAACTGCTTTGTCGGTGATCAACAACTTCCGAGATTTTAATCCTGGGGTAATGACAGGAAGCTGGGTATAGTTAATTCCCAAAGACTGTCGACTCCTGTAAGGAAAACACAACACCATTCACAGAGTAGTATTGCGCGTGCGTGTTGAGCAGTTTCTCTCAAACACTTCGCACGCGAACTGCCCACTCACTGTTCAACACAGACCTCCCAGTCTTCTTCCTCTTCATGCTTCTTCCTGGCCGTTGCTAATCACAGGTAAAAGAACGAACGAAAAGAGACCCTGCTGCTCTGGTACTCTTAATAGAGGTAGGGACGGACTCTTTTGTTTCACTTAAGAATAATCGGGTGGTCTTCACAAAGCTAGGAATGGACTAAGTTGTTTCACGTACGAACATGTGTGTCTGAAAAATGTTTAATGAGTTTTCAGCCAATCCCTGATACTAAGAAATACCACTGTTCTCTCTCTATATATATATAACCTTCAGGTTATATATCTTATACACACTAAAAATCAACTCGAATTGTGGACTGGCTTTAACTTCCAGCCATAAAACAGCAAAGCATTAGCACAGAGAACTTCGATAAAAAAAAAGCAAACCTCGCAAGTTTTTAAATTTAAATTACCTAGTTGAGAAGAATTACCATCTTTAAGTGAAATACATTTTATTCCGTTTTATAATATTATAATCAATTAAAATTCTCGAATTATATCTCAACAAATCACAATAGACTACATGATGATTGAAAACTACACCATTTACGAAAATGACACTTCATCGGATGCTAATGGCACTTTGGCTTCTGAGATCCCTACAGGAAACGTTTACATTCTGCCATGGTGGCAACAGACGTTGTGGAGTCTTGCCTTTGGGGGGATGGTCCTGGTTGCAACTGGTGGCAACGTCATCGTCATCTGGATCGTCCTGGCCCATAAGAGGATGAGGACCGTTACCAATTACTTCTTGGTAAACCTTAGCTTAGCAGATACCATGGTGTCCACCCTGAACGTCATCTTCAGTTTCTCTTCCATGTTGAATGGTGACTGGCCTTTCGGCAGTGCCTACTGCAAGATATCCAACTTCATCTCTATCTTATCAGTAGCAGCCAGTGTTTTCACGTTGATGGCCATCTCCATTGATAGGTGAGTAGTTGACTCTACTGATATTAGGAAAACACTTTTTCTTTCACTTGGGCTTTGCTTCCCTTGAAATAATACTAGACTACAATTTACGAGTGTGAATAGTGAACCCTAAACTGTATTAATATTTTAAAATCTACACTGTTTAAAATGTTATGTTAACTTTTCTAATTCTTCAGCGGTATTGAGCCTTATGTGGCTTATTTATCTAATGTAGGCTTAAGTGACTACACAATTATTGAGTATCTATATACTCAATTTTCGTAATTAATGATATATTTTAAACCTGGGTATACAATAACCTGCGCTTTTCGGACGCTTTAATGGAAGTCGTAGTTTAAAGATCACTAGTATTTACTGTTTATTCTTATTTATATTCAATAAAATAAGTTTTATTTTCAATAACTTCTGATCAAAGTGAAATAATTAAATGATTCAGAACTAAAAATTAATTCAGTAGATAGTTAGATATATATACATGCAATGGTTTAATTAAGAGTATGAACTACCATAAAACAAATACTTATAATGATTATATGACATTGAATCCTCATTTGTGTGCCCTTGCTATTCATGACATTTTCGGCCGTAATCCTAATAACATCACACGAGATTGAGCGAACTTTGGAGATTTAGGCTAGTTCTAAATCCGTATTCTAAGCTAACAATTTAAAATAATCTTCAAAATATACAGTATGGAATAGATTAAATATACTAAATATATATATATATATTAATTGTATTAAGGATTTAAATAACATTAAAAAAACATAAAATTTAACTTTGGAGACGGAAAGACGGCTAGCTGCATAAGCTTATTTGTCTAAATTTTTATAAAAAACTGTATTTTCAAGTTAGGCTTATTATTTTGAAGAGTCCAGTCTATCATCACAGCGATGCAGTACTAAATACACAGTTAACAATACCTTAATCGGTATTCGAAATGTATGTTTATATCTGTGTTTATGTATAATATTAATTAGAATAACAATATATGATGAAATGTATTAGAAAACTCATTTTGTGGATATGATCGCAGTATATTTACTAAGCACAGAATATAAGCGCAGGTACAATACATGTAATAATTGGATAAACAACGATAACAGTCGCATCGCAAGTTCTGTGTCTTGTACTCGCTATCTTGAAGAAAGTCTTGTTTAAGAGGTTTGTTACGTATTTTAGAATCTGTCAAAGCAGTAGATCACACCATACAAACTCTTGATTGTTAGATTTGTAGCCTCTGTCACTCTACACACTTACAGATGAAAAATAATTTTTGCCTTTCTTAAATATATAAGGCAAATGCAATGAAAATGTTAGTGTAATATGGTTCCATCTAACCTATATGAAAGCCATGTCACGTCACGCTTGATTTCTCGAAATAGGTGGAGACATAAAAGCCAAAATACATTTATCCAGATAGAATAATTCGATTACTGTCTACCCATTACGATTTTAGTGACAGGGTTGCAAGAGACTGGGGTGTGTGTGCCGTGAAACCTTATAAGTGTGGTGAGTATTGGTACAATAAGCCTAAAGTAAAGACATAGTGTGGGGTCACCTAGCCTAGAACCAAGTGCATAACATTTATCATGAAAGTAGAAATATCGATTCAATTTTAAATTTAAATCGTTTCTGAGTCCCCCAGTGGCACAGTGGCATGTCTGCGATTATATACCGCTAGAAATTGGGTTTCGATACCCGTGGTAGACAGAGAACAGATAGCCCATTGTGTAGCTTTGTGATTAATAACTAACAACATTATTTTCTGAATTAAGCTATTTTCTGTTATATAAGCAACGTTTTCAACAAAAAAACAAACCTCTTCAATCAATGGAGATTAAATTAAGAAATTAACACATATTTTCCAGTTTTGTTGTTTATACATTTTTATTTTATATTTTTATTACATAGACTAACAACAATATCAGGTTATACTTTTGTTGCTAGCAACACGACATAAAAGCCATTGCTGGAACGTAGTGTTACCAAAACGCACTGGCTTTTCTATATATTAGAAGTTGTTAATCTCACTGATTTTTACCAATAATTATTTTATGAATACACTACGAATTCA